TCTACTTTTTGGCTTTAATTCATTTCGATCGACAATCGTTTGTGAACTGGAGTGATATTTTTTTCTCCATTTGCTTTGCTTACCTTTTATTTCTTTCGTTTCCTCGTCGATTTCTCCGAGAAAAAAAAATAACACATCTATCTCTCGTACTGTCGATTTGAGAGAAATTGAACTTGAACGTTTAAACTGAATTGAAAGTGATACACTTTTTTCTTTTCTTCTTCTTCGTCTCTCGCATTTCGTGTTCGACAAATAAATTCGGGCCCCTCGCCAAATGTTTAAAACGAAAAACGACATGCATATTTCCAGTGTTCGAGATTGAATTTTAGCTGTAACCTGCTCCGGCTCAATCGATTGACCAGACGATGTGATACGAACGATGGATCCTATCACATTCAATAAGATTGTGAAGAGGGTCCGTCAGTCGCTGTTTTTCCCATTCGTTCGCATAAATTACCGTTATTTTGATAGCAATAGATTTATTTGTTTCTTCCTGCTGCTTCGATTTCGAATGCGTAATTCAAGAAGGTGAGAAAAATGAAACAACAGTGACATTTACACCGATCAATCAAGAATTTGATTCACTTTGACCATTTGGCCTCTTTTGTTCATTTGTATTTGATTGAAAGAGAGAAAGAGCAGAATAAAATCTCGAAATAAACCAGAACACCGACAAAAAAAAATCTCGAGATGAATGCGACAAATGTGGTGGCAATGGGTGGTATGAGGTTCTATGACCAATATCCTGGTCGTGTTTTTTCCTCTGTGTTCGACAGACGCTCGGATATTTAATCAGGGAAAAGTTTCGAAACTGTCCACGAATGTTTCGGCTTTTCACAATAATTCATTGGGAAAACCAATTTTCGAAATGGCCACGTCAAATACACAAACACACACATACGTACGCACATAGCAACCAGGCCCTTGATGCATATGCAAAAGACACATCATTCGAATAATGTACGCAAATGCGGTTTCAAAGCCCAAACACCAAACAACGGCCAAAAACGTTGTTCGCTTGATTTGATGTGTGCGGTGTATTCCAAAAGCTACGCTGCACCATGTATTTTGCATTCGCCCAAATATAAGCATCCGCACAACGATACACTCGCCCACAACACACCGTGCGGCTAACGTAACGCAATTGACATCCAACACAAATTCTAATGAATTATCAAACCAAAGAAAAAAAACACACACACACACACGAAACACAAAAACCATCACATCCAATTGGCACAATGGCTTCGCCTCTGTCTAAATCCAATTCAAATTTCGGAATGGACGTGATGGAGCTTAGAATAGCAACTATTTGGATCGATTTAATGGCCATTCTTCCACTCAATTTGTTGAACAAATGAATTTTTACGGAGGAATTTTTCAAGTGGATTTTTCTAAATGGCAAATTCAATGACTTTTTTTTTTTTAAATGAATTTTGGGGGAATTCGGGATTGCGGTCAAATCTATGAAAACTCGGACGACAAAAACGATTTCAGAAGTGGTTCGAAATATTTGCATGTTGGAATTGTTGAATTTCCGAAAAAAATTCATGTTTTTATGCTTGAAATTCGGATTTTCAAAAATAACAGTGGTCAAATTCACTCAAATTTTGCTCATGATGAAGCCAAAATTCATATTTTATTCGTGCAAATTCGAAATTTCCTATTTAAATGCATTAAAAATGTCAACATTCAGAAATTAAACCAAATGAAAAATCTTCCATTTCTCAATCTTTTGAAAAAATTGAAATTTCTCAATCCATTGAAGAAAAAAAATTGAATAAAAAATCACTTAAAACCTCATGATATTCCCTGAAAATGTGATGATTAGCTTGGTTCTAATTTCTGATCTGTATCAGTTGGCCACATGTTCCATCAGCCATCTGTTTGACATTTTCGGGATGCAAATTTGGTGTGTCGATATGATCGAAAGAATCAATTCCACCAAAACACCAAGTGTGTGTGGTTTGAGTGGAAAATCATTTGTGGTTGAATTGCTAAATAGAAATAAGCTGGTTTTTGTCAGTTCAATCTCTCATCAAATAATAAGCTTTGCCCACCGAGAGAGAGAGAGAGTGAGAGAAAAAAACGGCGAGACTGTAATGCGAGCATCATCGTCATCATTGGGCCACTTTGGCGTGTGACAAAAGCCATAAATTCGAGCGTAATCTAATCTAGCATCTCCATTAGGCAAAACACTCTCTCTACCGCAAATTGATAAACTTTCCACCATCCATGAATTAATGGTGTTCCTCATCGTCGTTGCTAGTGGCGGCAAACATGCTTCTTCGCGTGCACCGCCAAAAACCATACATTCTCTCTGTGCCCAAAATGTACTTAGCGAATAAATATAAGCATTATTAAAAGTGAATTATATTTTGGGTCTCTCTCTCTCTCTTTCTCTCTATCTATCTCACATCGGGTCTCGTGCAGCGCATTGCAAATCCAATTAAATTATAGTATCTGTTTATTATCACGATTGTAGCATATGTAAATTGGAACAAGAACGGGGAATAAAAAGTCCATGTGTGGTGGAATTGTTGCGTCCGTTGCAGTAAACAATTCAGTCAGCCGGCGGTATAACCTTATTTCACGCGTTGGTTGAATTGTGTGCGCGCGCCCATATTTGCCCGATTAACCGATAAAAATCACACAATTCATCGCACTCCCGAATAAGAAAAAAAGTGTTTGGTGGTGATGATGGAAAGAAAAACCTTGATAATCGAATTATCAAACCTAATCATATTTAATAATATCATTAGGGAGAGAGAATTGAAAGAACTGCACTTTACATTAAGCCTGAACTAAACACACTCAATTGTAGCGAATAAAAATAACAGTTGCGATTTATCCCCCTTTTGGAATGAAATCTCGCTGCTGCAGCAGCAAGTAGCAGCAGCAGCAGCAGCAGCAGCAGCAGCATCAACAAATAAAAGTGAAATGCAATAAAATGATAAGATGTTGCGATAGACGTTATTTCAATCGAAGCGAGTGAGTTGAGAGGGTCAGCCACGGCAAACACAGAAAAAAAAACAACAACAAGAGGGAGTCAATTCAAATCAACTCTACCGAACAACAAGCATTCGGGCTCTGTTTTGGCACTCGAACCAAATATTATACGATTACATCGTATTAAGTTATTTTCATCGCTAGTGTGTGTGTGTGTCGAGTGCGGACGAGCGAACAAGCAATGGGTGCGCGTTCGCTCACTCACTCCGTCGATATGTACATGTACATTGTACATACATATGTGCGAGCGTGTCTGAGTGCAACATCATCATCGATGGTGTATTAAAACATTATTGCCATGTTTCCACCCTCTGTTTTGATGTTCAATGGGCTTTCGTTTGGTTGCTCTTTGCTTATTGATGTTCTATTCCCCCTTCATAGTGTTTCACAAAATTGGCAGGTTCATAATAATGGCAATTTTATTGTCATCATCATCAACCAACAGTATGTTACTTTGATTGAGTTTATTCTCGCTCACTCTCTCTCTCTCTCTTTCGCTCTCTCTCTCTCTCTCTGTATGTGTGTCTTGTTCTCGATATCGATGGTCCCGGCGTCAATTTGTCACAATCATTATTTATAAATTTTTTCTGCTTATGGATGTGAAAGCGATATTATTTCGGATTAGGATGTTTGCGGCTCGATTTGTGGCACTCACAGAGCCATTGCACTTGCTCTCTTGCAGCCTTTCTGCCTTCCTCCCTTTCTCTCTTTTTTTAAATTTCTTTCTCTTCTTTTTCATCGGAAGAAAAATCATTCGAATTCTCTTTCTCGCTCGAAACCAAATCAAATATGAATGGGACAATTTTGATGGTATTTTTAAATCGGCCAAAAGTCTGTTCACCAATTCCACCGATTTGTGATTGATTTTTTTGATCTGATTTTCCCTTTTTTTCCCCTTTGACATTTTTTTCCAATGGCAATCAGTTTTCGAGTCTAGCATCCATTTGGTGATATCATAAATTATTTATGGAATTGATGGACAAAACTTTTGCAAGACACGTATCGACATTCAATCGTTAGCCGATTTTTATTGCCCATTCCGTTTGTATGCTGATTCGGTAATTTAATACCATGCATTAAGCTAAAAGCGATACCAATAAAAAACAACAACAGCGCAGAGGACAACAACAGCGCAGAGGACAACAATAGCAATAATATGCATCGCAAGCCTTTTTCGGCGTTCAAAGAGCAATATCAACGTCGACGTCGACAAAAATAACAACAACAACACATACACAAACTCATGTGTGTAAGGCTTAGGTTGCAAAACTGATTTTGAAATAATCGATCGTGCGCGTCTCTTATTACACGCGATATATCCATTTTCATCCACCTTTTTTCACTTGACAAAAGCCGTGTGCAAACAATTTTGCTGCGCGCACACGGAATTTATTCGATAACGAACAAAGGATATTCGATTAAATCACCCGAATCAATTCATCGCGCGATATTGATATTCTTTTTTATAATTTACTGATTGATTTTAAAGTGAGCGCCGAATGATTCATTTGAATCAAATGAATGGCAACCGAAAACAGAAAAAGAGCCAAAAGAATGTGAAATTGAAAATAAGATAAATATTTGATTGACCACTTGTGTGAAAACTAAATTAATTTTTTAGCCTGTTGAAGTCGATTAAAAGCATGGCGTACGCATTATAACATTGGTACCGGTCATTTTGACCCGAAAAAAAACCGTTCGATACATTGGAGATTACAGCGATTGAGTGAAAATAAAATCAAAACTAATTCATTGATGTCACATTTAAATAAATAGCCTTCGGTCGTCATGCCATTTTCGGCTTTGCGTCCGACAAATTAATTCTCATCCTAGTGTGGTGGTGGTGTGGAGCCACTCTGACTCTTTTTCAGCTCACATGTGTTTGTATTTGTGTGCGTTCGCATTTTTTTTCTCGTTTCAATCGTCATTTGCTTACTAATTTACTCACATTAGTTCGTTCAATTCCTAAAATTCTATGTGATTGATTGCAGGTCATGGCGGCGTTAATCAATTAGGTGGTGTATTCGTAAATGGTAGACCATTACCCGATGTAGTACGACAACGAATCGTTGAACTAGCTCACAACGGTGTTCGACCGTGTGATATATCAAGACAGTTACGGGTCAGTCATGGCTGTGTATCCAAAATACTTTCAAGGTAAGTTCCGTATCCCTATTTAATTCTATTTAGCAATTGATCCAGACCCACGCATCAAACATTTTCAATGTGGATATTATTTGGGTTAGTTTTTAATTGATAGGGATTTTAAATCCAAATTTGGTTTTGGAAATTGTTCAGGTTGAAATTCTTCATAAAATTGTGTGCGCCAAAATGAACGTTTTGTTTTGAAAACGCGCAAAACAATGTATAAATAATAGATTTTGCCACTCGAAAACACAATAAACAATTGTTCTCGTAATAATTTTAGTGAATTTCATTCATAGTTCCATGAATTCAACGAGTGATGAGCAATTTAGGTGAGCTTATATTTAAAGAGAGAGAAACTGTGTTGTCACCAATTGCCACAATACCAATTATTAGACTGTGTGATAATGCAAGGCTAAAAATAGCATTCAAATGAATTTATTTTTATACGGATTACAAATTGATGCTACCTCGATGAAACCAGTCGTGAAATTGTGTGTGAATGTGATGGAAAAATGGGAATTTTTTCTATGTTTTCAATATTTTCAGCCATTTGTCAATTTTTTGCCTATAGAAATTCCTTTTGAGAGCTCGTTTCAATCCATTGAAACATTCAAGCTGCTTCTTTTTCAAGCCATTTTCTGCAAATTGCTAATTTTGCAAGATTTTCTCCCTTTTCAAAATCTCCAGAAACGAATTCTAAAAGGAGATAAAAACGAGGAACTATACCCAAATTTAAAACGACACAAAATTACCGAATTTAACAAAAAAAACGCACATACAAAACATGTACCTCATTTTAAAGCTCAATTGACGTTAAAACATTGAGAGCATGTGCGAAGTCAAGTTAAAAACAAAATCGATTAAAAGATAATTTCAAGAAAACAAAAGCCCGTTGTTATGTTTCTCTCTCTCTCTCTCTCTCTCTCTCTCTCTCTCTCTCTCTCTCTCTCTCTCTCTCTTGTTGTTTGTGTCAGTTTTTCTGTGTCGTCGGCTGAGTGAGCTTGTGGTGTGTTCTGGATCTGAGCATGAAAATATCGACACAGAAGCGTTAATTCATGGCTCGATAAATGAAACAACAACAATAAAAGCACACACACTCACACACAACAATGTGACAGTGGAATTGAAACGCGCACTGCACAAATGAGTAATTTTTTACGGTAAATTATATAAATGCGTTGATGGTATAATTTTATCATCTTATTATCGTGTGTGGGTGCACTGACAACGAGCATGCAACACATTAACAATTTATTCGGTCGACAAATGAGCATTCGACGGTGTTTCGCTCTCGGTTTCTGTCGCTCTTGCTTTGTTTTTTTTGTGTCGATAAATAGCAGCAATGATTTGATGAGTGAGCAAATGAGCAAGGGAGGAAAGAAAGAGATAGAGAGAGAGAGAGAGAGAGAGATGGACAGAGAGAGCAAACGCGAGTCTTAGAACAATATATAAATATCTCAAAATGAGAGAATAATTTGAATATTTTTCCATCATTATTATTTCTTTAATTTTCGGTTCGGTTCGCTTCGTTTCCATTGTATAAGGCAACATACATGTGTCGTGCTCAATTATCCACCTAAGCGCGTCTCTTATGTGCACCTCGTTTTTATTATTTTCCAGTGTGAAGACGCACACCAATAACAAACAAATCATTTAATCAAATGCGAAACAAAGCGCTAGTTTGTGTTCTAGACGAAACGAAGAGAAAAACGGCGTTTTTTTCTTTGAATATTTTTCTATTGTTTTTGATTTTTTTTTTCTTAATTTTTTTTTCCACATTTGAATGTGAGGTGAAAAGAGACAAGGCAAAGAAACGCAAGAAGACTCGCCACCTAATCATTTCAAAGGTGTCAATTCCAAATAGTTTTCTTTTTAAAATGCGCGCACGCCAGAGAGAGAATGATAAGTTATTCCATTTTCCATTCTGATGACACGTGCCTCATCACACAATTTTCTCACACACACACAAACAAAAAAGTACCGCTGAACTATGACTTTCCCGCCGAGAACAAAATATGTTATTACTCCAACAAATGAGCATCATTTTCTTACATGGAAAAAAAATGATCTTGATAAAAGACGTGCACAAGCTCACGTATTTAATTAAGCAAAACTATTCATATGTATCTCTCACGAATGCAAAGAGCGAACAATCGAAGCAGAGAGAGAGAGAGATGGAGGCAGAGAGAGAGAGAGAACAAAAATGCGAAATAATTCACTTGGCCACAATTAAAATGAATTGTTTAATTAATTGTTTTCAACGTATAAATGTGAATAAAATCCACAAAAGCCAAAAACTAATTACGCAGTGTGGCATGTAATAAATCTCAACGCCAATTTATTCATTTCGCCAAAATGGGGATTCTACTGCTATCCTCTTCCTGTTTGATGCATGTGCTGCGTGCGCGAAACACGACCCATTCAAAGAATCCATCCGAATACGTCGGTCGTCATCGTCGTCGTCGTCACATACAACAAACGAGCGGTTCGTTTCAACGTTCGCTCCATTCGGTCGTTCGCATTACTTGCCATCGAGCCTGCTGCCATTTTGCAGCACACATGCTGATTGTTTTCGAAAATGTGCTCATCCCGAAAACGCCACTCGATGTAAATTATCGCTAACTTAACGAGATAAACTGATGCCATTTTTCTTTTCATACAAGCCGATACTCACACACACACACATACACACACACACACACAATCCAATCCCTTTGGTCGCTTTTTGTGCAAAACCATTTGAATCAAGCGGATTTAATCCTCTCTGCATAAAACCGTCACTGTGGCTCTGAGTGAGAAAAAGCATTTCGCATTAATTCATCATTGTTCCAAAGTAACAAAACAAAAAGGAAAACCGAAAACAGAACAAAAACAGGAACAACTTAAGTGATTTTCGTTTTTGCGCTAACATTTAAGAAACCATTACCGTACAGTAAGTACAGCGTTTTAGGATTGGTAGACAAGGAAAATTTCAATGAAAATTACGGATTTTACAACTGAACATCAAAAATGGTCGCTTCTACATAAGAATCGGGATTTTTTGAAGATTTTTTCGTTCGACCGACCGAAAACATCTTCCTATGGGAAAAAATTTCTGCAGATTTTCCCTAATTACAATAAGTTTTTTGTAATAAATTTGAAAATGGTTTAATTTTTTCTCAACATTTTTCATCTTCGCGAAGTTCAAATGCGTTGTTGAACTCCCATGAAAAGCGCACAATTCGCAATCGACTTCAAACTAGGCCCGATCGTTTTTATCCATAGATTTTACCATAAACGCACCAAATTCGAGTACAACGGTACAACTACGCTTAACATGCGCATCAATCAATTGGGCATGGTATCGATATGTGGCATTAGATTTGTTTCTCTCTCTCTCTTCACTTTTAGGCCTGCCGTTGCGAATTAACGAGATAAAATGTGTGTTACATGTTGGTTTCAATGGAAATTGCTGGTGTTGTGTGTAGATCTCGGGTGGTATTTCGAGTGTTTTGATTTAATTTCCCATTGTGTGTGTGTGTACGTGTGTGTGCTGTTGCTCCCTTGCGTTAAAATCTGAGTGCTTATAATATTATTCGATTTTTTTTTCTGCTAAATTATCTGGGCCGGCCATAACTGAAATGGTCATCGCTATAATCGCTAGCGTGAACAATCGAGTTTAGTAGGTTTTTTTTGCAATCGATTTGGGCCGTAATTCGCAGTAATCCATATTAATGTGTACGAATTGGTTGATATGATCGTTTTGTTGTAATTTCCACAGGTATTACGAAACAGGAAGTTTTAAAGCTGGTGTAATAGGGGGATCCAAGCCAAAAGTAGCAACACCACCTGTTGTCGACGCAATCGCCAACTACAAGCGAGAAAATCCAACAATGTTTGCTTGGGAGATTCGGGATCGATTACTGGCCGAAGGGATTTGTTCACAGGACAATGTGCCCAGTGTTTCATCAATAAATCGGTAAGCGCTTTTTTTTTCATCGATCATTCTATTTTTTTCAAAATAGAAGAGAATATTTCTGCACAATATTTGAATCGACAAAATATTACAAAACCGTCTCTCTGAATGAACACCATATCACGCCAGTTTGTCTCGAATTTTGTGTTAATATTGTTAAAAACATCTCGGGCATCAGCAATTGTGAAGAGCATTAGAGAAAATATTGAACCAAAATTCCGACTTCTCACCAAAAAACCCATGGATTCGTTCTTTTCAAATAAATAACAATGAGTACAATTTTTTTTACCGCAATCGATGTATTTTTTTCATTCACCTTTCTTTTATTTACCATTTGGAGAGAAAAAAAATTGTTCCGAAGTGATCGGTATGAATTGAATATTGTGAATGAAATGGTGTGGATATTAAAAATCAATTTAAACCGTCCCAAGTGAAGCCGGATGAAAGTGTAAAAAATTGGTAAAATGCTGAGGAAATTTGTTCGACTCACTCAGTGTATACGTGTTTTTTTCTTTCTATCTCTTCTTGTCTCGTTAAACAATTTCCTGCTCGGAAATTTCTATCATTGCTCTTTTCTATCTATCGAGCAAAGAGAAAGAGAGAGAGAGAGAGAGAGAGAGAGAGAGAGAGAGAGAGAGAGAGAGAGAAAGATAGAATGAGAAAGGGAAAAGGGGCGAGAGAGATTTTGTAACCGAGAAACATTTGTCTATCAATTCTCTTGTTATTTTAATACCATTATTGTTGTTCATGTGTTGTTGGTGTCGGCTCGGTACAAAAACAATGACATATCTTGCAGCAAACAGTTGCGAAGAATATTCTGCATGTATCGCACCGATAAAAAGGGAATTGAAACAAATGAATAGAGCGATGATCGAAACGCTCTTCTCGAGAGAGAGAGAGAGAGAGAGAGAGAGAGAGAGAGAACAGAAAAAAGGGACGAATCTCGGAGGTGTTTGCAAAAATGAAGGGAAAAGCCTGAATTCCAGTGTTGTTGTTATCAAAGTCGATGTCAATAAAAAAGATGCAACATTGAATACAACATTTCACAATTGCCCAGGGGACCTTTTGTGCTGCATTTGAGCCGTCCGCTCTTATTGTGTAGTCCGAGGCAATAACATCGAGATAACCAAATTAAACAATCAATCAAGTACATTATTATGTGTAACTTTCAATCAATATCCCAAGCTTTTGATCTTGATTTTGGAACAAAACTAGAAGAAAATTATAAACGAAACCGAATTTTAAATGGAATGACGCACAAATTTGGCACAAACACTGGAAAAGCAAGAAATTTGAAGAGCTCTTCTTCTTTCTCTAGTGAAAATGATGCTCACTTGTTTCGGAAAAGTGAAGAAGATGGAAAAAAACAATGGGGCAAAAAGAAAATGTGAACAAGAGCAAAAAAGGAGGGCAAAATGGGAGAAAAAGAAGAAATGTCAACAAATGAACCCTTTGAATCGACGAAAATGTTATTTTACCATTGAATTACCCGTGTCCCATAGCAATTTTGCATTTTTACAGCGATTTTAAACTTATTCCAATAAAATATATGCCTATAAAAATGCTCTTATGCTCAATGAACAAAAAGATGCTCTTCGACTCAGCATAATCCACCGATTATGGCGATAAAAACATGCGTTTACCTAAGATCCCAATCATAACATAAATTATGCCCACTTGAATGCGTTGAATATCACTTTACGCGCTTGCTCAAAAGAGTGGCTTCGACATGGAATGGGCACTTGTTCTTGCCTTGGTCGCTCTCAAACACTCTCCACTTAATTAATAGTATACCCTTTAGAAAGGTTAATTCCGAATCTAATTTCAAGTATCATGTTGTTCCTCAACATATGTTGTGTTTTAATGGAATCGGTGCGGCATCGTACACAGACTCTGTGTGCGTACGTATGGGCCAGAAAGAAAAAAACAGAAGAGTGACATTGAGCGATTATTTTGTGTGCATTTTAGTGTGTATAATGAACAGTCACTTGGGGAATTTTCGTAAAATTGAACTTTGAAAGCTGGAATTTTTGGGTGGTACAAGGGTGACAAATGTATCTTGTCGAACGGCTGAAATGTGGTATTGAGAGAGAGAGAGAAAGAGAGATAGAAACAAATTAATAAAATGTCGTTGTTCTTTTGTGATTGTGCATTTTTGGCATACATAGGTGTGGGAATTGATTCGGCCCCGCACGGTGTAATTATTCTAATAAACAAGCGAATTGATTTGGTAACAAGGAAAGTGCGTTCATCGCATTTTAGATGATAAAATTAGATATTGTGACATTTCACTTTATCCCTTCCCGCTATGCTATTTGGAAAATGTTAAAAGTCTGTGTGATCTATGTTAATCAGTTGTTGAGCAAAGCCAAATAGTTTCCGACGAAAAAAAACGCACACTCACAAATCATTAACGTACTGCTTGTTTATGAAACTTATATAATCATTTCACAATGTGGAGAGAAAAAACGAACACACACACACACATTCGCTGTGTGAACTTTACTTTCAAATTATAAGTGTGAAAAATATCAAGCCGAAACTTGGTGCGTCGAATAAAAAAAACACGAACGAATGAATGAGTGGGAAAAAATATGAGGGGAAGTCAATTGCATGAATGAACACATATAATAGCCACTGAATGTAGATTTAATGCACTACGCATTCGAACATTTTTGTTTTTTATGTTGTTGTTTTTATCTTTATTCTCGCCGCTATCTCCGTCTTTCTCTCCTATGTGTGTGTGTGTTAATGTGAATATGTCGATTACAATTCACCCCATTCGAAAATGAGTCGAAAAAAAATCGTCGCATTTTATCTGCTTGTTGATTTTACACTTTAACTATTAATTTTTCGTTCATGTCAATGTGCAACAACATACAATTTCATATGCACCTATTTTTTTTCGATTCGGGCCCCATTGTCATTATTATTTTTCCTGTTCGATTTAAGTGATCACAGCTCAACGCAATTACGGCATAATGTCATTTCGGCTCATATGTTGAAATATAGTTTTTTTTGCCGCTGTTGTTGCTCGCTTCGTTCACTCGGTTCGCCTGAGATTGCAGTTTTAGTTAATGTTGCCAACAAAACGGGTAATTCAATTTATACACACACACACACACACACACACAATCTCGTTCCCTCTTACCGGTGACCGACAATAATCACAATGTAGTAGACAAAATCGGTGCAGATTTTTTTGTGAACATATTGACACGACGAGCACTGATGTGCACAATCACTTCATTGACACACACTCACATGCGAATTCGACTGATAATCGACATAGAAAATCTCATTATCACATTTGTTCACTTTCATCGATTTGTCATTTTCAGTTTCACCCACTTTTACTTTCCTCGAATACACTGACTAAGTGCATCATCGCATTCAGATGAAGAATGATCCCTTTGGGCATAATTCGTGATTGCATTCGCTGAGTTACAGAACAATTGCATAACTTTTGCATCGCTTTCTTTTGAAGAAAAATTGAACTTTTTACTAGCGATTTCTGACACAAGCAAACGAAAAGTTATCATTATTCATGGGTGTTATCTACACCATAAGTTTAATCATATCTCTTTACAGCTGAGCTCATTAAATCACTACTGATTTCAAAATTCAGTCAATTTCAAATTGGAATCAGAAGTGTTTGCGCTAATTCGGACAGTAAACCAACAATATTTGACTCGATTTGACTGACATTTGAAAAAAAAAACTGTTTTTGAGCATCAAGTTTCAAAGCTTAAACTATTTTCATCGGCTTATTTCTTCTTGATCATGAAATTAATTCGAATTTATCTTGAATGAAGAAAGAAAAACCAAATTGAATCAAATCGAAAAGTTGTGCATAAAGAGGCATGACTTGATTCTTGAAAAATTTCCCGAAATCAAAAAGCGGCCAAAAGTATCAATTAATTGTATTCAAAGTGCGTCGAATCGACTCCAAGCGATAAAGAAATCGATTCGACTGTAAGAAAAATGATACCATTATTGTTTTTTATGCAAACGATACACACAAAAATCCCCACAACTTCGGGGCCAGTGTCAGTCCAAATCAGTGAAATTTATTCAAATCGATAAATTGTCAGATACAATTGTACCATAGGCAGGCAAAAAGTATCAAAACAACAGTTCGATGCTGGAAAAAATTGCCATTCCAAACGGAGAAAGAGAAAAAAATGTGGAATCATTTGAATGATTGTGTAAAGTAATTTTGGTGGAAGCATTTTCATGGCATGTTGCCAATCCACCTCTCAGCATTATGACTTCGATAACAAAACACAAGTTCAAGTTTCATCTTGAGTTTTGCGGGTCGATGCTGCGAAGGGAACGTGCGCAACGCACACACCAAAAGACGGTTGTGAAAAAAAATCGTCTTCACACAAACACACAAAATGACACTGAAAACGACTTTAAAGCATTATTCAACGGTGTAGCAATTCGGTGCCCAAGTCGTTCTCCCTCGTTTTCTTGCACAAAATTGAAGAGTTTTGATTCGATGTCGTTGCGTTTGTGTGTGTGTGTGTTTGTAGTAAATCGTTTGCAATTAAACGAATGTTTTGGTTTTGGAATTATAGCCGTGCAATCTTTTCTTTACGGTTCGATTATGTACGGTTGTTTGACGGTGTGTACGGCGCTTCACTGCTAACGAAAATTTCCTCTTCATTTTCTTAATTCATTCACACGAAAGAAGAGAAGAAGAAAAAAAAACAACGACGGAGACGACGACGACAAATGAACAAACTCTAAAGGGAAACTCCGCAAAATTTGTCTCACAGGCGATATTGCGCACCACTTTATGTTCGAATCAAATTGCTCCCCAATGAATTCACTGATCCAAACTGTTTGCTTCTTTGTTTCAGCAAGAGCGTTCAAAAACTTTTTTTTCTTCTTCTTCTGTATTTGTGCTCTGTTTTCTTGGTCGTGGTTGTCGTCCTCCTTCTTCATATCTTCTTTTGTGTTAGCGCTCTTCTCGGGTTATCCGGCATTTTTCTTCT